TTTATAAATTCATTTAAGTAAAAATCTTCTAACAGAGCTGCTGACAGGCTTCTGATTTTCAGAGCTCCAATCAAAGAATAATTCTGAACACTTCTGTTGTAGACTATATTTGTAAGCAAACAATCAAAATGTTAACTGCTTTCACAAGTGAAGGTAGAACTTCAGAATTTTGGGTTAATGTTCATGTATACAATATTACTTGATTATAAGGCACTCCTTAAAAAATTTAAAAAGTCCCTCAGGGTCTGGAAGTGCACAGTATCAAGTGCCTCTAATACACAAGTCTGATTTTCAATGAGGAAGAACAAATTAGGTTAAGCATATTAAGCTAGAAGCACAGTTCAACTCTAAGCACTGAATTCCGTAATACTACTGCAGTATCAATATTTATGCTTAATTTAAAATAAACATTCCAGAGAACAAGGTTCTGGGACTAACCACATTTTATAGATGGCTATAAGGTACAGTTCTGCCTCCAGCTTGCTTTAAATGACTTAGTTGCAAATGCAGCTGTTACTAATATTTAACCAGAACTAATTTTTCAAATAGCTGCTCTTAGTAGGTAACAAAAATTAATATTCTATTCAAAAGGATGCTCCCTGCCACAAAGCAGCACTGGCTGAAAACAAAACAAAACAAACAAACAAAAAAAAACAACACACACGTGCAAAAACAAACAAAACAAAACACATGCTTTCTGGATAACCACAATCAGTCATCATACAGCTGATCAATTAATTTGAAGAAAATCACATTCATGCATTTCATGTACAGCTATAGATGGCAAGGATCTGTTTTTTACATCCCCTTTCCCTTTGAACTCACAAGACTGATGACAAATGCACACTTGACAGTGCTCATGTGCAGGTTCCTTCATTCCTGTTCATGCTAACATGAAAATAAAACGTTCAACAATTCAACAGAAGAATGTTGGTTTTATTAACATGGTTCGAACTTTGTGCCCCTTAGACAGTTTCCCTTGTATACAGACTGACCCGTGGAAAATGCCCACATTTCATAACTGTGTTACAAATCCAAAGGGAAGACCTCTCCCATAAAGTCAAAAAGTCCAAGCATAACCAGCATGTAATAAGAATTTTATTGAATAAATTTAGAAAAAAATGGAACATGAAGACATGAGATTAATTTCTGCTTTTAAGTTTTATGAATGTGCAGAATCAAACAACCATGCAAAAAGACATCTCTCCCCCCCAACCGCAATTCAAGACTCTCATTTATAGTGGCAAAATTATTAACACCTTAAAACAGTGTTCCAGACACGTAACTCATTACTTTAAATAGGATCTCTTTCCTGAATGAAGACAAAAAAATAGTAGCAAGAGGGAAAGACAATTGATTAACAGGTACAGTACTTAACCAGTAATCATGCCATTTTTAAAGAATGCAAGCAAAAAATGCATCATTACATAGAATAAGTAGATGTTTTTTCAAGGCAAAATTCCTAATATAACTAGTCCCTAAACTACTGAAATGGTGACTTGATAACGCAAGTGTTCCAGAAGATCGTCTTAGAGATGGAAGTTTTTTTGTGAAGTTACATCAGTGCCATGTAAAATATAACAGAGTATCTGAACAGCCCAGTGCTAACAGCATGTGAACATTAAAAATGAACTCCAACTCCTCCAGGAAATGTTCTGTTTTAGACATACAACAGTAGGTAGGAAAATGGGCTTAAGCATGACGAAAAAGATTAAGATTTCTGTTACAAATCCGTGCACCCACACAGTTTTTGTCTCATTAAAAATGTATTGTGAAGTTTTACATGCCCCTGGTACAGTCATATCTGAGACATATAATGTACTGTCTACATGTAATATGCAAACCCATTCTGAAACACAGTATAACTTTTTAAAGTCTTATAATTATAAAAATATAGCTAGACCACAAGTTAAACAACTTGTTAAATACAGGACAACTCTCAAAACCATGAAGTGGCAAACTGAACTGCACATATCCCAGTACATAACCTTTTGCACTTCCCAATTTAATTTCACTATTATTAAATAGATGACAGCCTACATGAGCAAGACTGTTAGCTTAGTTCTCAAAATTTGCTTTTGAGAAGCATTATGATTATTTTCATATACCATAGTTATATTTTTTCCCCCTGCATTTACTAATAAAAGCCAAAGTCAAACCCAATTCTATTGGAAATAGATACCACTAGCCATATCAAGATGTCATTTTGTAAAACACCGGCATGTTTTGATTAAGACTGTTCTGAGCAACCACTATGATCTGCTCAAAGTACTCAAATTCAGCAATACAGCTTTTGCAGCTTGATGATGGATGCACACAAATAGTTATAAAAAGCTGCTAAGAATGCAGTTAAACAAGACTCATGACATAAGCCATCTGAAAGCTTAACTTTTTGAAAATCATCATAAGACATAGAGAAGCAGGCTGCTATTTGTAAAATCTACGCATTTTTGTCTGATATAAACTGGGGTTTTGTTCGCTCATGTTCTTAAATATATTAAATAGGTGCATTTTAAAAGTGTTTATATTGTCATTGAGGTGGAAAAGTTATTATGCAACTCCTGAGGCATCTGTTGTTCCCTGCTGAGAGTATAAACAACAGGAATAGAAGGAATGAATAATAACGACCACAAAAAAAAAAAAAAAAAGCAAAACTGAGGACATTGTCTGCAGGAGCTTTCTTCCACTCACTACTACAATGTTGATCCTGCTTCTAGCAGAATCTAGTTTCAAGGAGTATAAAAACAGTTACAGGGTCCCAAAGTCTACAATGTTAAAGCAAAGTCCATTCATCCAGATTTTGCTCAAATAAGTGCTTAGCATACTCAAGGGTCACAAGGATTGCTTTAAAATTAAATTTCGTTTTTGAAGAAATTCTGTTTCCCTTGCAGTTACTTAAACGCTAAAAACAAAACAAAACAAAACAGAAAAAAAAAACAGATGACATGCTGATAGTTACAGGTATCTAGAATTTTTCATCCGCTGAAGTAATTGTTCTTAATATTACACTAATATAAGCTCCCGTTGTTGGCTCAGAACTCAGTGGGGAACACCTGAACAATTTTTACAGGAGCAACTGCAGGCGTACATTTTTGTAAGCTTGTACTTCACTGCACGTGGTGTTTTCAAATGTATTTATTTTTGTTTAAAAGGAATTATTAGAATTTGATGGAATTTTTCAAGCAGAACTTGGCACTTGAATTTTTAATAGGGGCCCAAAGGAGTAAGCAACCACACTTCCTCCAAATCAATAAGGAAAAAGGTAAAGAAGCTCTAAAACAGATTTCAACACCAGTGTTACTTTTTTGGTGTTTGGGGCTGGTTTCTTCAGTAATGCGTATGTTACTACTTCAAGAATTTCAAGTACTGCCGAAGACAGAACTCTGAACTCAACACAAATTATACCTGTTGGAAACACTAAGATTCTGAGAAATCCATATTGACTTCAGAATGCCTTCACTACTTTCACTGTTTCTCTTGGACTCATTTCAGGTCTGCCAAGGTAGACAGATGAGCATCACCACATTCCACAGCCCACAAGGCTTTTGTTTGTATATTTACATTTTGGCACAATAAATAATAATATATATTTTGGTTGACTTACACATTAAAGCATTTTTATTTCAGCTACAATCTAAAATTAAGGAACGATTTCAAGCAGAAATAGAAAGCAATATCACTGCATGAATTATTCCTTAGACAGAAGTCTAAGACAGAAGTCTTTAAAACTATCCTGTTTCAGCTACAAATCGTTATTGCTGCAGAACTGCAAACAAATTTAAGGTCCTGATTCAAATTACAATTTTGCTTATGCTCTTCAAAAAGGTATTTTAAAAATATTTTAGCTTAACAGTACGATTATGATTTGAGATGGGCATTTTAAAGCTTGTTGTTTGTTTCTCCTAAGATTTCAGTTATTCCGTAAATTTAGTTCCTAGATTACCATCCTTGGGAAAAAGAGCTCTGCATATCTACATAGAAAGGATTTTCCCAAGATACCTACAGTGCATATTGTCTTCTCCTCCTAAAAATATCCACTCTGAGAAAATTCATAGTTTTTGAATGTTGCAGAATAGGACCGAATACATATTGTAAAGACTGTCAAATATATACAGTAGCTGGGTAACTTTACAGTATTCTGCAGTTGTGTATTTTCTACAGCTGAGATGCTGTTATTGAGCCATATTCACTGTCCGCTTATGTTTACATTTAAAAATTCAAGTATCAAAGTTAGGAGAATAGGAAAAATCCCCTCTTGCATCTTTGTTCTTATTTTAATCTGATCTGCTTTATACCTGAAAGACAGCAAGTATCGGGAAATACTGAAACACTTACTAAAATACCTTTATTTTATACCTCTACAGCCAGCAGATATCGAAACAAACATTAGTTTTAGCAGACAAAAATGGAAGTCTACAAGTGTTCTTTCACATTTGTTTTCATGTGCCTTTTTATTTTAGATGTGGAATTGCATGTTTTATCACTTCAAAAACTCAGATCTGTAATACTGTATGCTTTATAATGAAGAGTGCTGAATTGAACATACTACCAAGCAGATCCAGTCTAAACAGAGACTTGAAAAATTAACACACACTGTGTACTGAAAGCTTATCTGTTTGGGTAGTCAGTTGCATAGTAAGTAAGGTTGTAAACACAGTGGCAATAGCTCTTATTTAAATCCCATTGAGACGCTCCAGCTAGAATAAATACACTCACGGAAGCAAGAGCAGAAGAACCAGCTATTACTCTTCAAGTTGACACCCTCATTTACTGTGCATTTTTTTTTTTTGTAGAGTGGAACTAAGGTCTAGCATTAAAAAAAAAAAGTTATCTATATAAAAGTTAAATACTTGATTACAGTAGCAAGTCACCACTTCAGGATGGGATATATCGTGTCTCTTGGAATTATTATTGATCTGAATTCTCTTTCTTTTGTTCTGTGTTGGATACTGGTAATTCAAGACTTGCCCATAATAAAGGCTCTGCTTTTCTCATAGTAACTTCATCTTGTAGCTGTCAGTTCACATAACTCCTCTTTACATCAATTACCTGAAAGAGAAAACACGTCACACCTCACTTTACAAAACTGAATTAAGTTCAGAAGAGTACCTTATCACTAGACTTCATCAGATGTTTAGGTAGATGGAGTTCCCTCTTATCTGGAAAAGCCAGCCCTTTCCCGCTCCCAAGCTATGAACATGTATGTACAATATAAATATAGGTCTCATGCATACATAAACAGTAATTACATAACATTAAGAGTTTTTATCTAACACCACTATCGTATTTAGGATAGAATCTTAGGGACAAATTGGGTTGGCGGGAATCTCGAGAGGTCATCTTGTCTAACCTTCCACTCAAATAAGAGTCGATGCCAGGCCCAGTCACTTGAGGCACTAGATTTTGATTTACATTTAATTACTGAATGACATGCAATTTATTTTTTTTTTCAATAAGCAACAAGGAAAACAACTGCTTTTATAGAGAAGCAGCTAAGGGTTTGTGGTATTGTTAGTATTGTGGTGTGTTTTTATTTAAAAATAGAAACAATGTTTTATACTTACTCCCCATAATTTCACATTGCGATGAAATTCCTTTTCTCCTTCAAATACAATATGAATATTTAACTTAAAAAGGAAAAACAACAGAAAATTTTGTCAGGCTAGTAAGACATGAGACACCTCAAGTATATTTATGTAAAATATATCACATTAGGACTCAGATCCTACAACAAACAAAGTGATCAAACTGTCCCTCATACACAGAAGTGTAAAATACATTCTAATAGATTGTGTTGAAGTATCTTAGTCTGTGTACCATAGTGGCCATATAGACCTACTGCAAGTTCTTTCATTTTTTCCAAATGAATGATTAAGAAATCACAGAAGTATCATTTTAACACTTGTTTAATATGACTACCCATGAAAGTGCACACTAGCAAGAACAATATTCAACTACTTTAAGCCAAATACAATGAAATTACAAATCTATTATTATTTACACATGTGATGATGGAATTCCATCATTCCATAAATAAAGCAGAAGCTGTATTTTTCTAACTTCAGGCTTCTGTACAAATTAGAAAGGAATCACCTATTAAAGTAGGAACTCACCATTGTACTATTTGCTTCTACATAGCTCAGATCAGGAACAGAATTTTTAGCATATATTGAAATAGTAACTTCTCCTCCAGTCTGGTGCCAATCATGCCTGCACGGAACTACCTTCTTTCCCTATATAAATAAAAGGTTACAGGGAAAAAATAATATTCAGGAGTATTAATCAGAATTAAATCCTGGGACTATTTTAACAGCCATTAAACATAGCTAGCATAGGAATATACCCTGTGTTCAAATGAGAGTGCAAATCTCTATTTATATTTATTATAAAACAACAACAAAAAGAAAACCAACTATATTCTTTATTTCAGATACTGGACCCTGACATACAATAGCAGTGAGGAAAACAGTGTTCAGGAGATAGACTATGGTAAGAAGCAGGAACACTGATGGAATGAAAGTAACATGTTCTCCTTTACAAAACTAGAGTTATACAGCAGACAGTGGGAAGAAATGAAACAAAGAAAGCAGGGACTCCAATCGGCTAGAAGCCCATTATCTCAATATGCACACATTTAATGAATAGTTTCTTAATATGAGTGAATTCTTTACAAGAACGCTCTTCTGCTTTAGGCTTAGCACTTCAGCTTCCTCCCCCCTTTTTAATACCTGAAACTACTGCTTTAACATGAATCTTCAAAGCAAGTAGCAATTCTCTGAACGAGAAAGACGTCGATGGCACCCTCTTACAATACATCTTTCATTTTCTTTTGTTAACTGATCCTGATGTCTGCAGTATCAAGAATTTGAAGAATATATTCATGATAGGAATTGTGTGTTCATCTGCATCCAACATGCGAACAGCTTTTTTTTTTTTTTTTTTTTTTTAAAGAAAGCACTCAGTTCCATTATTAAATTCTGAGATATTCTCTGAGAACCTTTTAAACCTTGAATGGAAATATTTTGTACTTTTTAATTCTGCATTTTTTTTCCAACATCTCAATGCTATAAACTAAGAAGCTCTCTATTTGCTCTACTAGTAGTCAAACCAAGACATCCAGTATGCTTCAAACCAGAAAACCAGACATGTAAACAGAACCCAAATTCTGTTGAGAGTCCAAAAGAGACCCTTCTATACACATCCCTCCCCAAATCGGGTAACATCACAGACTTTATCTGCCCTGCTATAGCACAAACGTTAATGCTACTCACTGCATCCTTTTTAGTCCATACGTGTGTTCCTGTTGTGCAGCCTTCTTGAGCTAAAAATGTATTGAAGTCAGACGTTTTCCTTTTACAGCAGCTCCAATACTTCATCCTTTAAAGTTTGCAAAGAAGGTAATTAACAAACAATATTTAGGACACTATTGTTAATACTTAAGATCTTTCCTCCTTATGCAATATTACCATTAATTTAGGAGACCCTTGTCAATCACTGCCATTTTCGACTGTGAGAAACAGAGAATGAAAACAAGGTAACACCTACAAAGAAAGCAGTAACAGGTAACAGACTAATTAAAAAAAGTAAAAATCAAGCTAACTGAATACTAACCCTTCGTGGAATATAGGTACACCAGAATGGTATATACACACATCTTCAGTGCTGTGCAGTCCTTGGTATGTCTGGTAAAAAAAAAAAAAAAAAAAAAAAAAAAAAGCATTTAGTTTACTATTATAGGAAGTGGACCAAAGGGTTAAAAAAAAAAAAAAAGTGTTCATAAAGATCACTTTATCTCAGAGATATCCACCTTTAAAAGTGCTCTGAAAATTCAGAGAAAGAAAGTACTTCAAAGGAAATACATTAAAGTTGCATGGTCCAGCACAAATCGATTTTCCATTCCTTTACTCAGTTTTCAGGACAAGGAACTGAACATACGGCCTCGAGTTGTGCCAGGAGTGGTTAGACTGGATACCAGAAACAATTTCTTCATGAAGAGGGTGGTCAAACATGGGAACGGGCTGTCCAGGCAAGTAGTGGCATCCCTGTCCCTGGAACTATTTAAGAGATGTATGGAAGTGGCACCAAGGGACATGGTTTGGTGATGGGACTTGGTAGGTCAGGCTGATGGTTGGACTAGATTTTGAAGGTCTATTCCAACCTACGTGGTCCCATTATCTATGATTCTTAAACAGAAGCAAATCTAACAATATGCATCTGTGCCAATGAGTATTATGTCAGTTCTTCCTAACACGAACAAGTGAATGCTCTAAATCCTTATCCAACCAGAGTTTCACTAGAAACTTTCAGAAAGTTGCAGATGTCCAGTGAAATACCTATTTCAATTTGACTCTCCTGTTCTGTACAAAACAAGCGTCAGAAAAAAAAAAAAGCAACAAAACACACCACAAGCAAACAAAACAACAGTGTCAGTTTAAAAGACCATGTAATATAAAGACTAATTTCAATGCTAGAAGTGTTATAACAATTTTCTTTGGTGATTCTTCTGGCAGGAAGCATTAAGTGATGCTGATGAACATCTTTGCAGATGTTTCTGAAGTACATTCAGGTTATCAAGAGCAATTCAAGTGCTATCAGTAAGCTACATCTCACCAATATATTATTTAACATTTTAAGTTGAAACACTTCAGTATTGTATGCTTGGTAAGCTTGATGATTAGAAGTTCGAGTACTGTACTCAGATCAGGGGCCTCCAGCACAAGAAGGTCATGGAAGAATTAGAGTCCAGAGGAGGACGACAAGGATGATCAAGGGGCTGGAGCACCTCTCCTACGAAGACAGGCTGAGGGAGTTGGGGTTGTTCAGCCTGGAGAAGAGAAGGCTCCACGAAGACCTTACAGCGGCCTGCCAGGGCCTGAAGGGGACTACAGGAAAGCTGGGGAGGGACTCTTTGTCAGGGGGTGCAGTGATAGGACAAGGAGGAATGACTTTAAACTAAATGAGGGTAGGTTTAGATTAGATATTTGGAAGAAATTCTTCACTCAGAGGGTGGTGAGGCACTGGCACAGGTTGCCCAGAGAACCTGTGGATGCCCCATTCCTGGAGGTATTCAAGACCAGGCTGGATGGGCCTTTGGGCAACCTGGTTGTGGGAGGTTCCCTACTATAGCAGGGGAGTTGGAATTAGATGATACTTAAGGTCCTTCCAAAAACCATTCGTGATTCTGATTCAGATTCAAGAAAAACAAAACATCTGATACCTATTACATCCACCACACAAAACAGCCCACATTTGTCAATAGTAAAGTATGTTACTGAATGTATATTTGTTAAGCCTGATGGAATTTATCCTATTTCCAATCGATTTGTACTGGGGGAGGGGGAACAAACAAAACAAGACAAAACCGAACACGTAATAGTTTAGCAGGCAAGTGTGACACCAAACCACTTACTTTTGAACAGCCTGCATTTTTACATGCTGTCCCAATCTTGATTTCATCACTCTCCTCCTCTGCAAAAAGAATCATATTACAGAAAAAAGCAACTGAAGTATACAACGTACAAAATATTTTGCTTTTATTGAGAACTGCAAAGAATCGAAAAGATTAGGAAAAACAAGTCATCTATCTTCTGCTTGTCACTGAAATCTGCCAGAAAGGTACAAAGAAACAGAAATTACACAAATATTCCAATAACTGTAAGTGAAACAATTACAAAACTACAATCACTTTTTTTTTTTTAAATCTTTTTGTAAAACTGAGACTGTAAAAGGCTCCTGCTATTAATTGATCAAGGAGAAATAATAGCAAAATGACAGTTTTAGCAAAAGCACAAAAGGGTATAAAATAACCACAAATGGACATAGGTTGAAGTTAGAAAGTGTTTCTAAAAGAACCAAACTTGAAATGCTCTCTGGGAGAAAAAAAAAAAAAGATGGAAAGTAGACAAGGGAGAACCAGCTAGTGTTCAGCAGAATTTCACCGGTTTATGAAAGGCATCATATGGTATTATGTTTGTAAAGGAGTACAGTTCATTTCTTGGAAATTCTTTGAGCCATTTGTTTAGAAATGAATGTCCCCATGATGTTCATTATTGCAGGATATCTTACATAATAAGCAGTTCATGTAACTGACGTGGGAACATACCGCTCCTAATACCCAAGCCCCCACATTGTTCACATTTAACTTTGATTATCGTTTTACAGAAAAGTGCTTTCCAGAATATTGTCTTTGTCAAATAATTACCTCAGAAACAACAAAAAATAGCATCTTTATTTATTTGACAAGAAGTGTCATATACCTACTTAACCTGCCTATATCCTTACCTTTTTTCTCTTCGTTTTCTGATGACAGTTTCAGCTTATCTAGTGCTTGCTTCAAGGAAGCTGATACTTTCAGCTGCAAATTTGTCATTGGCTCATCTGGGCTAAAAAAATGTCCATGTATTCATGTCAACTTCATGAAAAAAAATTACAAAAAATGACAGAGTAGTAACTTTCAATCTTGCAATAAGACTCTTCCTTTCCAATCTCCCTTACAACAACAAACTAGACTGCTAAGTGCCCATTCGTACTCTGTATGAGAAACCAGCCTAGAAATTTAGAAGGTCTTAGTTTTCAACAGGAAATCTTAAGTACTCTACAACAATAAAATCAAACCAGAGAGATTAAGGAATCTACATGCACGCACTCTACCCTACTGTTTTTATGTGTGTTAGACACGGTAAACAGTATTGCTAGTGGCTTTCTAAATTATGAGGCTTTACACCATGGTTTATTTTCCCAAGAAGTTAAGTGTTGAGAGATCCAGTAATATCTTGTCCCAAGCCCAACTCTTTTATCTCATTGTAAAGACAAAGATAACATCATCACTGCTACCAAACACAAGCTCTTTTAACGATAATTTGGGAATTTTTACACTGTACAGGCTGTGTAACACTTAATCAAATAAGGTTTAACTCGGTCAACCAACCATAAATTTTGAAAAAAAAATATATATATACAATACCTCGGTCTTTTAATTGTTTCCAGTGGTTTTGGTGCTTTAATTATGTGTTCTTGAAATTTGGGTTTCAGTTCAGCTAGTTCCTTTCGCTCAGAGGTAGTTTTGACTTCTGGTTTAACAGGCTCAGGAGGTTTCTCACTATTATGGTGACCCTTTGTACAGCCCTATTACGGAAAGGATATGTTTGTTTATATATATTTTATATATATATACACACACACACAGATATGCAATGTATTTTGTGTGCACAATTTCAAGCTATCAAAAGCCACAAGTTTTTTTTACATTTTTAGACCATCTTCCACTTTAGCCCAACTCATAACATTGGCCATGAATGTAATCCTACAACTATGATGAAAAATATCTTCATTTGCAAGTACTTTAAATAAAAATGCATACTTTTCAAAATCAAGCAACAACGCATTGACCCTTCATTATTAACAAGACTGCAAACAGATTTTGATGGAATGAATTATATTCATTACAACTTGAAAAATGAGACAACTTCAACATTACCGCAGGAAAAGTAGTGTACTCAAGATTTAAGACAGTTGTAACAAAATTAAGCAAATTTTAAACATGCAAGCTGTGATTTGATAAGTGTAAAAATTGTAAATAATCATGAGTACATACCACAATGCTTAAGAAGTCAGAAAAGTCTGTTGTTCTTCTCTTACAACACGACCAACCCTATGAACATTTTTGAACAAAAAACAAGCGTGATTACCTTATTTTGAAGCAGTTTATAAAAAGCAACAGACCAGTTATATTGCTTTATAAGATGTGGCACTTCATGATCACCAATTATTTTATTCCCTTCTTTGGACAATACTGTAATCATCTGCATTTTTAAAAGACAGAGAAACCTGTTACAGCTGCCTTAATCAGAAAATGCATTAAACATGAGGCAACATCCATGACAAGAACCAACTCTGTATGAGAAAAAAAAAAACAGATATCTAACTTTATCCTGTAAAGTAACATCTTTATAGATGTTATAGGATGAACAAATATTATACTTGAGACTCACCTGTGGCATAATGTACAGCCCCCTTTATAAAATGATGAGGATACTTTCCTTCCTTGAGCACTAGGCAAGTCTTTAAACTGCTCATTTCCCTCCATAAACTGGAGGTCTGCATTGCATAGCCTTCTCTTCAACTACAGCAACTGAGAACTTTATTTTACATCAGAAACCCAATTACAGCGAAAATTATCTTGGTACTGTGAATAATATATCTCAAAACTCAAAAGAACCTTATTGAAACCAGTAGTTTGTACAACATACACGCTTTTCTAGCATGTTGAGTGCTTAACCAATGAGCCACTGGGTTTTAAGTAGGTAGTTTTAAAATATCCTCAAAATGCTCATTATTTCTACAGTCACAGAAGTAAGATGTCCACCCATGCCCACTTTCAATTATCTACAATTCAAATCAGGAAGAAAATTACTCATAGGAAATCATGATAAATTTAATTAGATCAAGAGTTAGGAAGAAGAGGGGAAGCAGTACCTGTTTTAAGAACAGCGCTTCTGTAAGAGAAATTAAACACAAGCTTTTGAAGAAATTTTATAACTTCTGTCCTTGTAATTAGTAGTAGAAGTCTTATATACTGTGTTGTTAGTACAGTTATATTTTTTTTTTCAGAAAACAAATTGCCATCATCTATTGCCAGTGGCACACTGTGGCCACTTCTAGACTCAAGCCCTGCAATATGACCGCTGGCTCACAGAAAATGTGCTACCCAGCACACACAAGCACCCCAAACACCCACATTATGGGACAGAGTTGAGATGCATTGCTAGAAGCAGTTCCTGAACATCAGGAAAAAAACAAACAAACAAACAAAAACGCCTGCCCCCTAACTCAGTCAAACTGCAGTTCCTATCCCTAAGAAAGGACACTGAGGCTACATCTATGTCAGTACACTGAACAGTGCCAGACTCCATGGCTGGACCCCAGATTTCTGACCATTTACTATCAAATTGTTAGAAGGATTTCCAGTACTGTTTTGGACAACCTAAGCAGCTCTCTGTCAAATCATTCCCAGAAGGCATTCTGGATGTATCCAGTAGATCCTGAAGCAGAACTGTTTAATATAACAAACATGGGCTATGCAGTTGGCCTGATCACTACAGACAGTCCCAGGTATATGTACTCCACTACTGAAGATGTAGCCCCAAGACAGCTCCATCAGGGGCATGGGTAAGCAGTTCCATCTTAGCCCACACATAAATTTATCAGATTAACAGAACACAATTTCCACAGTACGCAAATGTCACATTTATATTAGTGCTCTAGTCATGTAAATGCAGGCAGCTGGTCTAAATTCCAATCAAGTGAATTAACTGAAAGGAGTATGACTCCTCTCAACATATCCAGAGACCTATTCTAAGATCCTAATTAAACTGTAGAGACATCTAAAGTCAATTAACAGAAACATGAGTCAAACAGACTTGCATAACATTTAAATCGTGTGAATAGTTTTCAGTTCCTATTGCACCTTTAAGTAAGTGTGGTTTTCTAATTTCATGGGGCTGCTCCAATGCTATAGACTGGACATTACTGAACAGAACTGACAGACTTGGAAAAGAGAAAAAGGAAAACAAGCAACCATTTTACATATACGGAAAGATAAGACGTAAAAAGATACTTGCATACTTACTTTGAGAGCATCATGAAAGACTGGTACACCTGGATGATATGTGCATGAATCTAGAAGAAAATGACTATTATTAATATTTAGGCATACCAAGAATTCTTATTCATCTGATCACAAACCTAGCAAAAATTTCATGCTTGCAATTCAGGTATGTCATGAGCTGTTCCACCACTTACCCAGGTGCACATGATTATTAAGGAAAACGCAGACTTCACAGAACAAGCTTTCTGAGTACATACATTAAACCGAAACAATCGAGTTCCCCCCCGTATTACACAATGTAAATCACAAAACAGACACCTGAAAGTAACTTCTATTCTTTACTTCTATAAAAGTAACTGGAGGAAGTAAACTTTCTACAGATCATCCCTTGCTTTCAACAGTAGTCCTCATTAGTAATTCAGAGATGTGATAAAGGTGGCCCTGCGGCCACACGATGGACATAAAACACTCATTTACATGATCACATACATCTGCTTGCACCTGATCAAGGCCTTCTATGTAGAAACACTCAGAGTTCATTAATTATCCATGATAATTAGCTTGTTCTTTTATCACTGGTGGATTCCTAGATGTTTAAGGTCATGAAGTCAAAGGCCAATCTTCAACATACACAATTCAGCCATGTGAATACCACTAATTATTACTAGGTTCTGTACAAACACCACGCTGAAATACCTCTTCTGTTAACTGAACTGTTAATATTCACAGATGTTTATCAACATTACAGCTATTTATGCAGTAACTGTTCGTTTTTCCTTAATGTTTGTATTTTTGAAGTGTAATATAATTGCTCTGATTATGTAACATCCCTGACACATACTCATAGATAATGTTTTAATGATCTGATTAAGAACATAATGGGAAACACTAGCTATCTTCTAGTCTTTAAAGCATTTTTTGGTGGAAACAGAAAATTTAAAGTGACACAAACAGTAACAATTTTTATAATACTCCTCCATAAAACACGAGTAAGCAATATCACATTTCAAATAATGAGGCAAATAAGACAAGTAATAAATAACTTTACTGACAATCTGCCTACAGATATTAAATGGGCTAAAGACAAATCACTATTTTACTTTAAAAAATGTAGATTTTGAACAACTTTTTCTTCCTTAGTTATATATTCAGAGTTATATATATATATATTCAGTTATATATATGCACTAATGCAATCAGACAGACACACTGCCTTAAGATGATAGCTCCCACCTCAAGCTGGAAGAGGAATATTTCAGAACTTTCGTCCCTCAGCAGGACTTACATACATGTCCACAAACTTCTACCAATTCTTTCAGCTTCAGGATGAAAAGCTAATGCTGGTAACCCTCACAAGAATATAAGAAAATTTTGTACATAGAGACAAACTGCTTTGTACCAAGGACTTTACTGCTTAGTTTTTTATTTTTAAGAAATAGCAACTATTCTTTTCCAGAAGTATCAAAGCATGCTATCGCAAGCACCATCATGGAAGAACTAAGTAGCAATGAGTACTTCTGAATGAGAAGATTTTAATTACTATTTTTGACCCCCTGACAGTTACGTGGTTTCAAATGAGAGAGGTGTTGTTAATCAGTGCATCATTTCTCAAGACCACGACCTATCTTACAATCAAGTAATTCAGAGGCAGCTATCCAGCGCACAGGTCAGACACACAGGCATCCGTTTGTCCATCTGGCCCAGTCCGATCCTTTCTCCTTGCTTCCTTAAGCCCTTTCAGCAGGAGGTACATCATGGAGCAGCTGACAACCCACTCCTTGCTGCTACCTGAGAAGTGCCATGCGTGCTTCACAAGAGAAGATGCTGGGGCAGTGCCTCAAAAGGAGGCAGCAGGACTTACCCACTAAGCAGTCTGCCATTCTGCTTTCAGAGAAGAGCAGAACGTCACTTACTTTCACTCACAGTGAGCCCAGCAACTCTTGTCCCTGTAAACTATACATTCGTAACAGTATCTCAGATTAGGTGGGGGAAAAGGGGCATTCAGCGCACAGCAATAGTTGCTTGAGCAGTTAGAAACATGTTGTGTTTCAGATTTGTTTGAGCTCAGCTTGCAGCCTTTGGTTGACATTCTATGTTTTTACTGCATACATACACACACACACACACACACATAGATATTATATATATTAGTATATATATTAGTATATATAAGTATATATACTGTGTGTATATCACCTCTCCACTGCTGTTAATACCTTTCTTTAATAGGGACAAAAAAGTTTTTTCAAAGCAAGTAATTTTTCCTCTCGTATTCAGATCATTTTGGAGGTGGCAGTACCACAAATTTTCACTTGTTTAAACGCTAGCTTCTTACCCAAACGAATCCTAGGCTCACAATGCACACACTGCTGGAGTGCTATTACCTGACTTCTACATCCTTGTTGATTTGTTGAAGCACTTTATTAGACTTTTTGTTACATGCTAAAGTAGAAAATTGTACAGGTCAGGCAAAGTCAGAGGTATTTAAGATGGAATCCTGTTGAATTCTTGAGGATGAAATGAGCTATGTCTACCTACAACCTACAGACCAGCTATCCTGTGGAAACACTCTAATGTTTTGCAAGGTATGCTTTACAGCCTGGCAGCAATGAAAGTTCATTAAATCTGATGAATTTTGTTCGGTTCCCTGGGAAAGCTGATGTCTTCAAGAGTTTGCTAAAGGTAGGAAACTATCATGGAATTCCACTGAATTACTCATGGTGTTGGAATAAAATGCGGAAAACGGGACAAATGTGGCATAGAGCTTATAAAGAGTTCATAAAGAAAGACTCAGGCTGAAAAACAGAATGCTGCAAGGAAGACAAAGGATCAGAGGATGCACTTCATAAGAACAGAGTTTGAATTACAGGGACCAAAGTTAAAGAAAGCTGAATGGGCAGACGAATTCCAAACATCCAGGCTACCATTTCTTCCAATTCCACCTCTCTCCACGTCAGAAATTCGTAGTTTTCATCATCTCTGCAATTATCTTTCTCTTACAGGTACAACATCATGAAGTTTGATAAAGGTAAGAGGGTATGAACAATCATGAAAGAGTAAGTCTTTCTGTTCTGGCAAAGGACCAAATCAAACCACATTAACAAAGTTCTAAATTATGGCCCTAAACCAAGAACTGTTGTAGTACAGTGAGGAAATTGTGACAAATACACAATGCATACACTTTTAGTCTGTTCTGTTTGTGCACACCACCTTTTCAGCTCTAGTTTTAAGGACTAGGAAAAACTTTTATAGTTTTAAGCAGGCCTGTTTTCAAAACTACATAAAAGTATTACCTCAAAGCTTTGTTTTAGCATCAAACTTTGACCTGGCCTTGAAATGGATTAGAAATGTTCATTGGTCGTTCATTTCTAAATAAATAAAATAATTAACTTTAAAAGGGGCAGAAGGGCTTTAAGTTCTAACTTCCAAATCAGATGCTGCACAAGTTTTTAACAGTGTGAATGTAACAAGCGGCTAATGTACTGAGAATGTATGTTAAATTTGTACTTTGCTAGGCATGCCACAAGTTATTTCATAACTGTGCATTCAGTCACAATTGTGTAGACATACCTTTAATGCTTTCCCTCAGGCTGTTTTTTCTGCCTCTCTTTAAGAGGCACTGAGTCCTTCATGTCAGCCAGTTGCCACTTGCTCATTTTTTGGAAACAATGAGTTTCTACAGAAAATATATGCATATGTTATTTCAGCCACCTGATTCTACAGAGATTAACGGCCTCTTACACCAGTCATAACTATGGCAATATCTATAACTGTAGACTGAATTCAGACAAACACCCTAAAACATCCAGAGGCCAGCAGGACTTATTTTCTATTTTCATTGAAAGAAAAAGCTTTCTAATAACTATTGATACTATGCTTAAATATTAAATTGTGTCAATATAAAACTTATCAAAAGAATATATATTTGTGCTTAACACACATTAACCTTAACCCCTATTGTATGTTAGACTGAAACATTCTCCCAGCTCTGAAATATTTGAACTTGACAGCTAAGCACAGCTAAATAGGGATTTGGATGTTTAAGCAGTAATCATCCCATTGATCTTGGTGAAGTTTAGTGATGCTGAAAGTTGTAAACATTCTACTTCAGCAAATAAAACGTCAAACTTGATTTTCTGAAGTGGCCTGTGAAGAACTGTGTTTATCTTTAGAACTACTTAGTCTAGAACACAGGAACTCCATTAAATGTTCCAGTCACTTACTGACACAACTTAATCTCGATAAATTGTCTTTCTCAATCCAAGTACCATGTGGTTAGCACAGGGCCATGCCAATTACATTGGGCCTACTACAATTTGTAACATACATATACTTTCGAACAAGAGGAATTGTAAATAATTGTTATTTGAATAGCAAAAACAGGTCATGAAATCCTAATGAAAAATTTTAATCTAAGAAACCCTATCCACTTTGTGAGGGATTACTGAGTGGAAGCATTCCAAAACTGCCCGCTTTTGCTGTTACTAACATTAGCAAGTCTTACACACAATTCTGCCCTTCTCTTTGAAAAGACTTAGATCAGAAAATTAAAGACAGTTTAAGTGATTCTTAATCACAGAACATACACATGCTAGATCATGTTAGCACACTTCTGATATTATGCGTCACTAAAAATTAAGCTAATGCAAAAACGCCATTCTAGAAATTCAGTCCAGAGAGCTACTTTACAAACCAGTTGAGGACAAGCCTGTTGAGAGCTCAGATCACCCTTGTGCAGCCTCTGAGGAATGATGAAGATGTTTCACCAGGTACAGGACCCCCAGCATGCACAGGGGAGGCTCAGCAAGAGCTCAGAGCACTTGGCAAAGCATGGATCATAAGACACATTTAATTACCTGCTATGAGTATGTGTACTGTAAGTTAATGAAATAATAGTTGATAATGTAAACTGCTATGTATGCAACACCCACAGAAATATTCAGAGGCACTCTTAAGAAAAACTTCTGTTACTTAAGGCCTCTAGTGTCTACCTTTACAGTGTCACAGTAATAAAAACTGCTTTTTTCTGCCTCTTTTCCTTTCTGTTACTGCAAACAGCATTCTGACAAGAGCAAACTTAAGCCTACAAAGAGATGCAGAATCTTTGTTATCAGCTGCTCCTTCTGACAGGAAAGCAGTTTGTTACCTGCCACTAGCCAGGCGGGCTCCCCGTTGCCCTTCAGGTTTTGCTGTCCAGCTGCCCCCAGCCCTCTTGGAATTCACCCCTAAATTTAGTGAGGCGAAGCACCACATACAAATATCAGTTCCCCATGAGAGGGCAGGCCAGGCAGGAGGTGCAGCTTGCGGCAGCAGACAGGCGGCGGGGGATGCAGAGGTAGCCTGGGTGCTGCCCTGTCACTGCTTGCTGCTGGCTGTGCCCAGGGCTCCGGGACAGCTCCACACCGGGACCGAGCACCGGGGATCCCTCAGATCTCCCCTACAGACCCCCCTCACCCTTCCCAATCGCATCAGGGCACGATGAGGGACCCCCCCTCTATCTCTCACCCTCCGTGTTGGTCTCGGGGTCGAAACGCTGGCCGCAGCCCCGGTTGTAGCACAGCAAGGACATGGCGGCGGCGGCGCTGGGTAGCAGGGGAGAAGAGCGGGAGCCTGGCGGAGCGGTGGCGGCTCGGGTGCCTCAGAGAAAAGAACCGGCCGGAGCCTTCCGGAATCTTCACGAAGCTTCGTCGGGGGAAGGAAGGAAGCGGGGAGAGAGGGGAAGAGGGCGGCAGCGAATACGCAGGCGCTAGAGGAGGGGAAGAGGAGGAGGAGGAAGAAGAAGCTGAGGGGAGGGAGAAAATGGCGGCGCCGGCTACGCGCCGCGGGTTGAGTGGTCGGGCTGCGGCGGGTGCCCGGTCTTTGGCGGTTCTTGTAATTTTTTTTTTTTTTTGAGATGTCCCCTCAAGAGGGACTGGGTGATAGAGGAAAGATGTAATTAGGAAGTTTGCTTGTTGCGTGACTGGAACACGTGAGCTTAATTTACAAAGAATATTTACGCATATGTATTAAAACCACCGGGCTTGTGTAGAAACAAGTATGATTACATATGAAGTTTCAAGTTCTTGGCTAAGAAAAAGATTATTTTTGTGTTTGAGTTTCTGGAAGTTCCCCGGAATGCTCCGGTCAGCCGACTGAGTGACGTGTCCTCTGCTGCCCAGGCTCCTTTGATGTGTATAACAATAGGCGCATACATAACAATTGGTTCATGTTTAACAATTACAACAAGCTACGTTCCTGTGAGCAAATACAAACTGGTTTCTTCAAACCTTCTGTAAATATCTACTGCGCAGTTTTTAAAATAGAAGTGCATAGGTGTTCATAAGGCATATGACATCCTGAAATAGATACTTAGAATGAGCAGAATAAGTTTATGCTAAAAATGCTTCTTTAAGGGGGCTAAGTGATGCGAAAATGATCACCAGGGGTTGCTTCCAGTGTAGCTACCAACTACTGACTGGAAGATCATGTGAAGTGTTCTTTGCTCCGTTATCTATATATATTAAGTAATGATTGACATATTCTGGGCCAAGAAACTCATATTTAATAGAGCTGTTGAGTACCAAAGCCATCGAGTACTTCAACTCTTACTAAAGAAAAATAAGGTCCTACTGAGCACTGTCGTAAGATAAGCTTTGATCAAAGCAGAAAAAATATTATTTTCCCCTTTAGCAGGAGCTTTATAAGATGTGGTAATAACAATTTGAAAAGAAAGAGGTGTAAGAATATCGTTGTTTTTTTGCCCTCTTACTCAAATATAATGCATTTAAATTGTTTCTGTTTGTTGCATAGCTTATTTTATAAAGAGAAAATTGATGGTAACATATTACAAAATTAAAGTAGGAGTGTTTGCATTGTTGTCTTAGGGCCAAGAACTGCTGTTAAAAGATGAAATTCACCTTATATGCTGTCAACAACAGTACCACATAAGCATAAATTTACAGGTGTAAAATAAATTTTATGCTCTTCCTGTGGCTCTGGTTTCATTTTATCCGTAGTGAGCACCATGGTTCTGTTTGAGAAAGAAACAGCTAAACAGCTTCCCCCCCCCCCTTTTTTTTTTTTTTTTTTAATTTCTGCCCTGATTATATTTGTGGAGCAATTCAAAAAATGCTTTGTTTTAATAACATTATGCATACTCAATTAAACAGCATTCTTACTACTGCCTTATTGATAGAGTTTGGTTCAAACATTGACAAATAAAACTTCTAGGGACAAAAATAAAGTTAGAAATCCATACCGTTCCTAAGAAGTATCTATCATGTGGTGCTACTACACACCCAATTACTACATCAGTGACATAGAATTCCACCCTTAGATTTTTCAGAGGGGAATTCATTAAAAATGTATTTGTTTCATAGCTCAAAATTCTGTAGAGTGCTGCATTAAAAACAAACAAAAAACTAATCTGAAAATTCATTTTCTTATTAATTTTCATACACGCATAATCTGTTCTCTGAAGGTTACTGAGCTGTATCTGTCTTGTCTGTACATGTTGTTAAACAGAATGAGTTTTTGTTTGTTTGTTTGTTTATTTCCCAGAACAGCATACAAGCAAATAGTGTTCTGTGATTGAGTGGGTCTTTTGAAGTTGCATATATTCTTTCTGTACAAGGCACTATGGATTCACATCACGCAATATCATCCAACAGAATTGAGTAGAACTTCAAAAAGGCAGTTTCTGTGCTTAGAAGAAAGCATAAGAAATTTTTCAACCCACTTGTGAACATTTGTGGAGTAAATTATTCAAATAATATTTGGATAGTTATCTTGTGTAGATAACAATAGGCTTTTAAGTTTTGTTTATGAATATAGAATACTTCTTGTGTGTAAATCTCTGTTTTTTGGAAATCTGTTAAAAAATCTGAAAAATCCAATGGTTGGTTCCTGATTTTGGGTTCTAAAACATTAAAAGTGCATATATGATTTTTGATGAGTTTTATCCTTTTTTTCATTTGCAAAGTCTTCCAGAGTATCAGATGAACTTTTATGATGTCTTTAAGAACTGAATCTTTTGTTTTTCTGAAATGCCTTACCAGAGAAGCAGTGAAAGATTTAAGTGTTCATATAACTTTTTTTTTTTTTCACTTATACACATGATTTATGTTTCTCGCCTCAGAAATTCTACACTAAAAAAGTTGGAAGCAGTGTTCTGCAGTGAACAGATAGACACATGAGAAAGTACTGCCACGCTGGAGTTGTATGTATTCATTTGGATAGGCTTCTAAAGTGGATGGGCTTTAATCTGTCAGTGCCAGTCCACACTGACAGTAAGACACAAAAACTTCTTTGCTGATCATAGATGATAAAATGTGAGAATTGTTCTCATAGTGGGGAATTCTAGAGAAGGGTCAGATTTTGATCATTGTCTGTATAATTCCATGGAAAATTGTGGTTTTTGAAACAGAGTTGCTAAGACTAACAGAAAGAACTATGAAAAATCAGTGTCTGGAAAGAAGCTACACAACTACAATCCAGAAATGAGATACATGTTCCTAAGAATAGTGATGATTAATCTTTGGAATGGGTTTCCAAGGATTATTATTTTTCCATTACTTGAAGTTTTAGAATGATGCTTGGCTTTGTGCGGCGTATATTGATTTTATGTATACAGTGTCTGTGTGCATAAGATAGAATGTCTTTCAAGCATAGATTATATTTCCGAAGCAGGATTTGCTCCAGGAAATTCCTGTCTTGTTATTCTGGGGGTCAAACTAGATGATCAGGCAATGAAATGAGTCTGTCTTGTGGGGAAGGAGTTCAGTCTTTTCTCAGAGAAAACCCTTTTTAATTTGGGAGACTGAAGTGTCTCAGCAACACATCCATTGTGACAATATCTTCTTTTTCTATGTTCTTGTGAAATGAAAGTTAGACACATTGAACTAGTACAATGGGGAATGTGCATTGCCTCTTAGAGTGAAGAGCTGCTGCCCATCCTGTGATATGTGTTATCTGCGCCCGTCCTGTCCTCTGTGTCATATATGCCCATCCTGTGATGTGAAAAATACTTTCTTATTACCCTCGGAGATGACCGCTGTCATGTGAGGCTTTCTCATCCTTTCCACGACCTACTATATAGTATCATGCACTGTGTTATTCTTAACATTTATGTCATCCCATCACACCCATGCTTAATGGAACCATACAAAAGTTTTCAAGCATTTGAAACAGAGTTTGACTGTAAAAGTGCATCTGTAAAGAACAGAGTGTTTCATTTTATGTCTTAAAATGCAGAAGAAACTTCTGATTTTTGGGCCAGTTTGTTGGAAAGAGCCTGGGGCTCGTC